AAGAACAAAATGCAAGCAATTTTGTAGCACATGTTTTTGCTAACCAATTTATTATATATGTAGGTGTTTTTGCATCCAATCACCGTTCACTTCATTTTAATTAATTAATGTAATCTAATTACATTTGCACACAAAATTTATTTAAAATCGCTTAAAAAATCACTGAAATAAACCACCGACAAAATACACATAAATAAAGAAGCAAAACAGAAATAGCAAACTTCAAAATTACGAACGTCACACACTTTTTCCTCAATTGCTATTACAAATGGCCGGTCAGATCTGTTCTAATTGGTTCATGGTCTAATATGGTAAGGTTTTGGTAAAGTTGTCCGAGATTAAGCAATTGGCTTATGGTTTTCTACAGCGCTAGTTTGCACATCCACGCTTCTATATCCTTTACTAGAAATCGTATTTTCTTCGAGCGCGAACTGGTGTTTTTGTTGTTGCTCGGTTGCAAGTTTCCCTGACATTTGTCACATTGAGGTTGTATACGTTAACGGCTCCGCAACCGTACCAGAAAATACTTCGATCTTCGGTACAATCAACATACCGATGTCCTGGGCTACAACAGTCCCAACAAATGGTTTCTTTTTGCAAAAAATCTTCGGATTCAGATTTTCGCTGCATTTCCCTAATTTGGTTAACTCTGTCCATATCTGCTGCATTTTCCTCGTCCTCATCAAGTTCATTTATTGTACGTTTAAATGGCTTTTGAGCCTTTTCGAACTCTTGACTTAACGCTTCTTTTCTAAGAATTAAATTGCGAAGATGCGAAAGACTATGGATTTCAAAATAAAATGCGGTCTTAAATTTCAATAAGCTCCCGATCATGTAAAGGATAATGCAGCTTATCGCATAATAAAAGTAAGTGATGGTAGACATCATCGAAATTTTTATTAATTTGCTGTTTCTCTCACGTATAATTTAACGTACATCAGCATCTGATAAGTGATTATTATAATGAAACTTAAGAGCTTCACATAATTCATGCCAATTTACACGACTGATATTACGACGATAACGCCAATACCATTAATTCGCTTTTCCAACTAATAAAATATGAATATGCTCACAAAGCAATTGAAAATCTCGATATAAATAAATTTTTCGACCGGTAAACCTGCAGTTAAACCACTAAAACTTCTAACGTTATTTTTTATATTTCGATTGTCATTAAAGTTTTGAGTTCGTCTCCTACGACGAGACCATTTCGAGAAGTAGCTCATGCACTCTCATTTCCGGTATTAGTAAATTGTTCCAACTGATAATTTAACAGACCAGTTTTTGTTGCTGAGTTGCGACATTGTGGACAAATTTCTGAGCCATCTAACCAAGATATACACTGTCTGTGAAAAACATGCTTACACCTAGTTACTGCTAAAGGAATTAAATTCCCAAACTCCTCACTACAAACAATGCAAATTGTATGCGGGGTAAAAGGTAAACTGTGTAACGGCCATATTTGCAACTTATACCTTCCAGGATTGCAATTACCATTCAAAGATAAATTTTGAGTTATCAAGGTAAACACGATAAATTTAAATACTGCGAGAAATACGGTAACCTGCATTTTGATCAAACCAATGAATACTAATTTTCCTCAAGATAATCACCATAACATGTAGGCATACGAAAAAAAGGAACGGTAACATCCATGCAACAATGCGTGTCTATAAAGTTCTTTTCGGATAAAAGCCTCAACTACGGTGTAAAAACTTTTATACTCCAGATTAGAAATTTACAACAGTATTTATTTAACTTTGATTCAAACCGAAAATATTGACTTTATGCTCACCTTTGGTTAATATTTGTAGTACTAAACAAAATTTTAAATCCAGAAAGTTTACAAAAAGTCGAACTAAGGGAAATAAAGCCCTTACCTGCTTGTTGTGCATTTATGACTTGCTTAATGCCTATCAGCTTGTCATATCAAATTCAGTATGCTTAGTGCGTGAACACAACTCTCTGCTCAGATCCGGTTAGCGGGAAGCACGTACTAACGTATGCGGAATGAAATAGGAACTGATGCACACTGAGAAAAAGGATTAGTTTCGACAACTAAAGATATTTAGTTCCCGAATTTTGACAATATTTGGGAACTGTTACCAAGGATTGGGAACTATTACCATGGGTTGGTAATTATAACTAAATATATTAAAGCTTCTAATATTCATCTAGGTTGTAACAAATCGTTAATTTAGTTGAAGGGTTTGGTTAATACTAATAAATATTTCTTTGAAGCATATTTCTACAAATTCCATTTAACTTAACGTATGGTTCATAAAAGGATGTTATTAAGCTCTGTTAAAGCAGATAAGCTTTCTTTCAACACATGGTTTAGTCATAGTTACCAAATCTTGGTTGAGGCAACCACGATTTGGTTTGAGAGTGGAACATATTCATGCTTGTGAGCCACCCCTAAAGAATGCTGAGCGCTCTCTGAGCACATATCTGTTTCACATACGAAGAGCTGAGCAACGCATACAGTCCCACTTATTGAATCGTTTGAATGGGCTAGTATGCCCAGCGTTGCCAGGTTGACGTTTTTAACGTCATTTGGACGTTTTTTGTATCCTGTTGACGTTTGGACGTTTTTTGTGTAAAAAATTACGTTTTTTAACTTCCCAGTAATTTTTCTTTGTTACTAAATCTTGCAAGAGGAACTGATTTTGAATTATTTTCTTAATAAATCTTTACAATCTTTGTGTTTTGCTGCAGCTGCTTCAAAAGATTTTTTTTGGATTCTTGGACTAAGGATCCCGTGTTCAAAGGCTGGTTGTGTAAACACTTGAGGTTACGAGGCTTGCTGTAATGTTTGCAATTGCACATTAAAAGCCGAATCAGGAAGAGCCGATCTATTGCAACACGCACGCTCGCAAAAGCATCAAAACAGCTGTGCAGCATAAAACGTCAGAAAAAAGTAGACGACTTTTTTAAGACTACATTGAAAATGTAATAAACGCAAAAAAGACTGAAATATTGCTATGCTCCTTCCTAGCAGAACGTAATTTACCATTTTCGACAACCGAGCCCCTTACCAAATGTCTACAAGAAAAAAAAATTATTAAAAATCAACGCGATTATTTAGCCCCTTTAAAATTGCACATTATTGCATTATTATTGCATTTTCGACAACCGAAATGTCTACAAGAAACAAATATTAAAAATCAACGCCCCTTTAAACTTGCACATTATTGCCCTGAAATTTAATGGGCTATCAAACTGCATGCTTAAAAAAAAATCTAAAAAATCTGAATAAAAAGTTGAAAATCTAGCAGAAAATTTGCAGACTTTTTATAATTTTTGCACAGTTTTTGTGGATTTATATTTTGTTTGTTAAAGAGCTTGGCTTTTATGGAAAAACAATATATATTAAATAAACGAAAGAGACACAGCAAAAATCGATCAAAATGTTGATGACTTAATCAGCTGATCACAAGTGTATGTATAAAATTATTTTTATATCAACGATCTCAAACCAGTTTGCAATGAATTTTAAATGTGCTCTGTCGAATTGATATTTTAATATACCTTACGTACATATATTCCTTTGTACACAATAAAAGTTTAATAAGAACAATTGTGGAGCCTCACACCAAAATGCTACACTTCCATCATAAAAATTGTTTCAGATTGGTGCTTTTACGGCAATCGTGTGATCTCAGCTTTACGTTTTGGTGCGATCGAGTGATTTCAATACGACTCAGTAAAGGTTTGGTTGCTTTATCTCGGGTTCTCTGTTAAAATATGCACACATACCAGTAAATGCAAGGAATTTGCACTAACATTTCGAGTTTTGGAAATGAAACGTTATGGTGTGGAGCTCCACAATTTTTTCTACATTCATTTAGAAAAGACTTTTTGGGTAGGAAATGACGTTTTTTCAGACCAAGAGTGACGTTTTCTCATGACGAAGACCTGGCAACACTGAGTATGCCGACCATTGCATTGTGCGTGGAAATCGTGCTCCGCTACCGCTGTTCGTATATGGGTGAAACACGCATGTGGTCCCAGAGCTATGGTGAGTGTTGCCACACAATTTTTTTATTTTTTACCAAAATCCTCGGAAAAAGTTACCAAATTCCACAAAAAATTACCAAACTTATTTATGTGCAGAACTGTACAAACATACATATCGAGCCCTAACCGCCAAAATAACGTAACCGACATTTTTTTTTTAATTCTCTTTTTGATGCGGAAATGTTCAAACAGAAAATTTGGAAAAAAATTTCGCTTACGTTATTTTGGCAGTTAGGGCTCGATACATACATATGTATATCCGAAGATACCAAGCTTTTCAGGCAATCAGCGCTCCATTAACCTAAAATTTTTACGAAAGTTTGTTGAATTTTTGAATTGAAAAACTCGTCAAATTTTCGCTATACATTCCTAAATCATATTATAAGTTGTATACAAATTCCTAGTAAATGTTAGCCAACCTTTCTTAATATACTTATTACAGTAGTAATCAAAATTTGGTTCAATTGTTATACAAATATATAGAAGAAATGAAAGGGATTTAACTATACGGTCAATTGAAGGTGAAATTGTTATTGGAAATTAGCGAACCGGCTTATGCTATAGAGAGCAAATGCATGCTTAAGTTTTATTATAGCTATTGTTGTTTTATATGGGTTACCAGACGTACTGCTTTTGAGAGTACACGTACTCCCTTTTATTGGAATGTACTCCCTTGTACTGCCAAAAAAAATATATGGAAATGTACTCCTTTATTAGTTTTGTACTTCTTTTGTTCTCCTTTTAATTAATATTTCTCATACACAGGGTGTAAAATAATAACTGTCGCACAGATTTTTTTTTTTGTTTTTAATAAAAGGGACCTTTATAGATTTTGCGAAAATTTTATTAATTCGTTTTTAAATTTTAACCCTCATTTGGGTTTACCAGCGGGTTTGGGAGAAAAGCGCAAGCGGCACGCATGTCTTCATCGGTTACTTTATTACATATCTTCTGTAAATATAGGCAAATATCCATTTGGGTCCTTTATACTCCGTCTTTTGTCCAACATAAGGCCTCATACTCAGCAATCGAAAAGACTCCGAACCGGTGACTAGGAGGGCATTCATACGACCAACCCTATACAGTTTTTTTTTCTCTTTTTTTATACAAAGTCTAAGAACAAGTACACCTATAAAAGACGTGAGTGCCACATGAACTTATCTCCCAAAGCTGGCAAATGCAAATAAGGATTAAAATTTTAAAACTAATTAATAAAACTAATGTAAAGTATTTACAAAGTTAACAAAAAACTACTCTTTTTCGCAACATATATAAAGGACCCTTTTATTTTACAAAAAAACCTGTGCGACAGTTATTATCTTACGCCCTGTACTTTGCCATTCATATTGTGGCAAACAATACTTAGTAAGCAAAGTTAAGTGTGATAGTGAAAAGGTGTAGGCATGGTCGTAGCAAGGTAGGTGCATAGCGCTCGGGTATAAAAATCAGAAAAATATTAAATTAGTTATAAGGCTTAAATTAAAAAACTGGCCATATATTCAGAAAAAGTTTGGAATTCTTTTGTAGAATTTAGTTGGGGAAAATTTCCTATAAGGGCGGTCATTGAAGAGGTGGTGAGCGAAGGGGGAGTGGGCGTAGTACCCCCGACCACCTAGGCCCCCTGTGGGTCCCTAGGGACGCCTTATAAAAATCGCCAAATATCACAATTGGGTGCCACGCCCACTCCCCCTTTGATACCATCTCTTTAACGACCGCCCTTATTGGAAAGCCAGCCCATTTAGTTATTTATTTTTAACATTTATTGTTGCTTTGATAAAGATTTCTAAAATGTCTTTGTTTATTTGTACCTAATTAATGGTAATTTGCAACAATAAATTGCACAAAAAATTAAAAAAAAATTGTACTCCTTTTTTAGGTCTTGTACTGTTTTTTTTCTATCGAAAATATAAATGTACTCCTTTCTCCGTTTCAAAATCTGGCAACCCTAGTAAGGCCTGATGCTGGAACATTTTCTGGAAAACCTGGAGTTATGTTAGACAACAACAACATAGGCATATATAAGATTTCATGTGTCTATGCAAATATTTTTTTTTTTTTTTTTTTTTTTTCGTAGGAGAGGGAAATGCTTTATGCACTGGCCGGGGGCGCTAGTCTCTATACTACCTTCCCCGAGTGTGGGACTCCCACCGAAGCGTGTTGGGCTACCCACTAAAACCCAAACTCCCACCGCCCGCGCAAGAATCCCGCATCTGGCACCGCAATTCTGCATGTCTTCAGATGCAGGAGCGCGCTGTTAGAGCCTTGGGGCTGCTCTTTTGTAGGGGCGTTTCATTCGGGTGTCCTCAGTAGACAACCGTCCTCTCGTTTGCAGCGGAGTACGAATTTCACGTATCTCGCAACTGCTTCCCACTTTTCTGCGCTGGAAATCATTATCCCAACTATGTTGTCCGGAGTAATGTCTCCGTGTCTTTCTTCCAACATTCTGCGCGAAATCAAGAAGTGTTCGCAGGTGAAGAATGTGTGGTACACGTTATCTTCGACGTTTCCACAGTAGTGACAGAACGGTGAGTCCACCCTTCCCATTCTATGAAGATATTCTCGGAAGTAACCATGACCGGTGAGGAATTGCGTCAGGTAGAAATCGACTTCCCCATGTGGTCTGTTCAGCCATGTTTGAAGGTCGGCTATCAGGGAGTGTGTCCATCGACCTTTTGTGCTCGCGTTCCAGTTTTGTTGCCACTGCTGGATCAGTTGCTCGCGCGCCCTTGCCGCGGCAGCTGCTCGACCTATCTCGGCACTGAGATTGTAAATCTCTTTTCGCTCGTAAGCAAGTAGCTCAATTGGCATGACGCCAGAAATAACTAGAACCGCGTCCGCGGACACTGTACGGTATGCAGAAGCAATGCGTAGTGCCCCTCTGCGCTGTACCGAAGACATTTGAACCCGGTATTTTTTGACTTTCAATGCGTCAGCCCATATTTCTGCCCCGTACAGGAGCACCGATTGGACCGCTGTCATCAGAAGCTTCCTGCGGCATGGCTTCGGGCCGCCCACGTTTGCCATCAGCCGGCTTAGAGCCGCCGTGCTCTGCGCAGCTTTTTCACATACTCCATGGATGTGTTCCCAGAATGTGAGTTTGCTGTCCAGCTTCACCCCTAGGTATTTTGTAGACCTAGAAGTCGTCACGGGTTGAGGTCCGACCATTATATTTATAATTGTTGGGATCCGTTTCCTGGTGAGGAGCACGATCTCCGTTTTGGCTGTAGCCAATTGCAGACCGTGATCCCTCATCCATCCACTGACGTTGCGCATGACCTGGTTTAGCTTGAGCTGTGCTAGCTGGACATTTCTTGCTGTTATGACGGCTGCCACGTCGTCCGCGAAGGCGACAAGGAAGGCGCTCTCCGGCATTTCCGTGCGCAACAGACTGTCATACGTGGCGTTCCAGAGGTCCGGGCCAAGTACAGACCCCTGTGCCGCTCCGCCGGTTATACGTCTCTTTCTCTGGCCTTGTGTTGTGTCGTACAAAAGCCAACGGTCTCTGAGGTAGTCCCGGATCATATCTAGCAAGTATGTTGGAACCTTGAATGACCGTTCCAAGGCCTCCAGCATATCGTCCCATCTTGCCGAGTTGAAGGCGTTCTTGACGTCCAGTGTGACTAGCAGCACTATTGGCCGCGCCTGGTGGCAGGCTTCTTCGGCCTTATGTACCGCCTCGACTACTTCGCCAATTGCTCCTATAGTTGAGTGTCCCTTCCTGAAGCCATGTTGTCGGGGTGAAAGGCCTCCCTCGCTTTCTATGGCTGACGTCAAGCGTATTTTGAGCAGACTCTCCATCATTTTGCCTGCTGTGTCTAGCATGCAGAGTGGCCGGAAGGATGAAGGAGAGTTTGGGTCCCCTTTGCCCTTGGGTATAAGCACCAGTCTCGCCTTCTTCCATTGGCTTGGGAAAACCCGGGCCCTAAGGCAGCTGTTGTACATGTTAAGCAGAAGATCAGGGCTCGTTTCCGCTGCTAACCTGATTGCCTCCGCTGGTATGCCATCTGGGCCTGGAGCCTTGCCGGCTTTCATGCTTCGCAGGGCTAGCTTCAGCTCGTCTGTCGAAAACAGTGGTGCCTCGGCTTGCTCCTCGACGAACACTGTGTCGGCTCTTAGTGGGTGTGTGGGAAATAGCACATCCACTATATTCTTAACTCGGGCCTCATCCATCGCCTGTGATGATGTATGGAACTTTTTCATCACTATTTTGTATCCCTGGCCCCAGGGATCGCGATCCACTTCGTCGCATAGCGCTTTCCAGCAGTTCCGTTTGCTCTTCTGTATCTCGGCCCCAAGTGCTTTCTTTGCGCTTTTGTAGGCTGCTGCTCTGGTCAGCGCCTCGGGTCTACCACGAGCGCGCGTTGCGAGTCTCCGCATTCTATGGCAGGCCCTTCGCAGCTCAGCAATTCGGTCATTCCACCAGTATACCTGCTTTTTACCTGACCATGCTCTCCTCTGTGGCATTGAGGCTTTGCATGCCCGGTGAATGCAGCGCATAGTTTCTTCGACCAGCTTAGTACAAGACTCCCTGTTGTGGATCTCTCCCGTTGTGGGTGAAATGCCTTGGGAATCTGCTAGGAGTGACGTATCGAACTTGCGAACATCGACCCTAGACGGGTTCCATCCTGGTTTCCTGCGAGGGATACTACGTGTTTGCCCTCGCGTGATGTCAGTGACTTGGAAGGTGATGTAGTTGTGGTCGCTACCACTCAGGTCTTCCATCACTCTCCATCCGTCAGCCCTTCGGAGAAGGCTTTCTGAGACCAGGGTTATGTCGGGGATAGAGTATCCAAAACCCGGCCTTCGATATGTAGGGGTCGTTCCGGTGTTGAGGATGGTCAGGCCAATGCGGGCTGCCATCTCAAGGACCAGTCTTCCCCTGGTGTTTGTTTGGGGCATACCCCATTCCACGCCTCTTGCGTTGAAATCTCCAGCAACAATTATGTGGCCGGTTATATCGCGCAATTCGTCTTCAAGGTCTTCGAGCTTTCCCCTGAAGACAGGGACTGTGTCGTTTGGAGACAGGTAGCAGCTCACCACAGTGATTTGCGCCATTTTAACCCAGACGTAGCAGCGTCCTACCCCGCTGCTCTCTGCGCGATGGTTGGGGTTAGCAATCCATATCGCGGCCGAGCCTGATTGGTCAACATGCCAGGTTTCTTTTGTTCTATAGGGTTCACTGATGATGACAGCGTCTGCTCTTTGTTCAAGAACCAATTGGTCCAGCAGGTCATCAGCTACCCTACTCCTGTTCATATTGCCTTGTATAAATTTAATCATATTCTCCCAAGCTTTGTCTTAGCCTCAGCAAGGGCATCCCTGAAGGCCTTGCACGCTCCCGACCCGGGCAGGTGATGGGAATTTTTCTGTCCATCTCCTGCCGAGCACAGGTAGCAGCTTGGGCTTTCTTTACACGCAGAGGCTATGTGGCCCTGCTGACCACATTTCCAGCATGAACTGCTTCTGTCTGGGCCTTTGCATGCCGCCTTTTTGTGGCCATACCCCAGACAGCGGAAACACCTTTGGACATCCGCGCGCTCTCGGACGCGGCAGATAATCCAACCTACTCGCAGCTTCCCCTTTTCAATAAGAGTCCGGCCTGGCAGTTCATCGATTTCCACCACGGCCATTCTTTGTTCTCGCGAGTTTACAGCGAGGAGAGAGACGCGAAGTTGGCCATTCATCTTGTCTCCTAACTCCCCGCGTATAGCGTTCTCCACTTCTGGGGCCGTGGTTAGGCAGTCCATGCCCAGAACTTCTAGACGTAAACGTCTAGTGAGAATACGGGCGTCTCCAAGCTGGCCAATGGCAGTGCACACATTTTCCTTAAATGCTGTGTGGTTGCCACAGCGCTCCATTTCGATGAGCACGCCGCCTTCGCGGGTTTTCCGAACAGATCGAATTACGGTCTCCGTCTTCTCGGGTTGGAGCTTACCGCGTATCGTTCCCAGCACCTCTGCATAGGTTTTGCCTTCAGCTGGCTTAATTATTAATTTGGCGAGACTCTTCTTTTTTCTCACCCTCTTCTTTTTTTTGCGGCTGGTCGCCTCGCCCTTATTGACCAAGGGTTCACCTGGCGCTGGCCCTGGCTTGGGCTTTCTACTTTTTCCAACCGTTTTCCATTGATTGTCTGGTACGGTTTTCTGTGCATTGTTGTTATTATTGCCATTATTATTAGGATTATTAATAATAATGTTTTTACTACTATTATTATTATTAGCAGTAGTATTTTTCTTCTTTTCCGGCTCGCCTGTAGGGGAGTCGGATCGAGTTCGACCTCTCTTTTGCGAGCCAGGGCCAGCCTTCCGCAGCTCGGAAAGGGTAGGCCCCTTCCGGCGCTGCTCTCGGAGGTAGCTTAATATATTTAAGCTCTCCTCGATTTGGGCCATACCTGTTTTTATGTCCATGGACACATTCTTTTGCTTAGACACAGCGCTCTGCATCTTCTTCAGGACAAGCCGAATCTGGGCCAATTGCTCATCTTCATTGCCTTCGCAAGTTCCCAAGCTTGCGGTGACATGCTTGTCGCTGTTTGCAGCAGCCGGCGTTTGAAGACGACTATCCCGGCTGCCGGGAGTTGCCGTTTGGCAAGGTGTAGCCTTCTGCGCCACGCCGGCGGCTTTCTCCGTGCTCGTGGTGCCGGAATTTGCCTGCAGAGGAGTTTGTGGCGGGGAGCGCACGACTCTACTGCTCTTCCTGAATGCGCTGCATTCTTCCTCCGTAGCATCGACGTTCGTTTCGTTTATTGGTTTTGTTTTAATCATTTCAGTCAATTGGGTCTCCGCTTCAAGCCGCTATCTCCACACGTAGCACAGTCGCTTTTAAGTGTCCCGAAGTTCCCTTCTCTCAAAGGAGCAGGCCATCGCGAGGGTTGACACAAGTCCTTATGGGATATTGTGTTCAGAGCCAAGACAGCGCAAAACCAGGAGTAAATCTCAACTGGACCTGTGCGGCCAACTAAATGGCGACGTGTATTGAACGTACTTGAAGACCTGCCAGGGTTTTAACGAGACGGAGGCGATCGCAGCATTAGCCCACCAGCCATTTCTGTGAGGTGTCACCCTCACATACTAAAGTGGCGGAATACTGCTCTCGCCAGCCCAATATCAGACTAATCGTATACATGCTCCAGTATGCCATGAACAGGATCTAACTGGTCTCAATCCTGGGATGCTTTTTGGGGGGCGGCATCTGTTCGCCCGGACACAGGAGATTCATCAAGCATTTCTGATCTTTTAAATCAGGCCCTCGTCTCCTGCCGCTCTTGGTCTGGGACTGCTTATTGGTTATTCGCAGCTAACCTATCCGAGTAGGCCGTTCACGATCCGCCCTGTGTGACCCCGGTAAGGTCCTGAGCTTAGCCCTTATGCAAATATTAACTGATGTACATATGTACATATTTATGTTCTGTTAACGACTTTTCACTAATTTCTTCCTGTTAATTTTCTAGTTCCACTTTCTTCAAAATTCAATGTTCTGATCTTTTCCTTCATAAATCTTGCATTCTATGTAAATAACCAAGTTAAATATGCACCTCACTTTAAATTTCTGCACTCATCTCAAATTTTTTTAATATAACTTTCCTTTCATCTTCCACGCTAGTTCTCTTGTACTGATCTTTTCCGACCACGCGCTCTGTTTCAACTGACCTCTTCTCTTCTAACCTCGACTATGTCAAAAGTACAAGTCTCTACTTTAAGCTCCCCTTTGGGCACTTTATCTACAAAATTGTTCCAGCAAACGCCTTTCTCTCAGCATGAAACATATTGGCCAAGATATGCAGGCTTTCACCAGCATACAAGGTCTGTGCAAATGAAATGCAATTAAATATAATGTACGGTCAAATTTAAACTGGGAAATAAGAAGATAATAAAAGAAATTTAATCGTTTTATCTTTTTATGATGATTCTAAATAAGAAGAAATTACTTAGCATCTGTGTCTTGGACACGTGGACAAGAAATATAATATATCAAAATAATTGATTTTAAATTATTCCACCAGCGCTTAAGATAATTTCTGCTTAATAGAAAATATATTTGTTTTCACTTTTAAAGATTTTGATTATTACGGAAATTATGGCTTTTATAAACTTTAAATTTACTTTGTACACACTTATTACTCACTTGATGTTAATTACTGTG